TATCACATTCCAACATGTTTATTTCATCATGGTTATCCCACAAGTATCTTCAAGCGGATCATTATTCCAGGCAAATACTTTGCCAACATTTGTTGACGGCATATGTAAAATTCTTAACAGTAATAGACAATCTTGTTGTTCGACTGTGAAGATATCCGCGCCATTTACTTGCTTCAGCAGTATCATCTTCAGATAAACTAAAGTATTATGAAATGAATTAGCAACTTTCAGATTTGCTACTGTAGTAGTTTTTTAACCTTTCCCGTGAATCGGCAATCACATTATAGATAGTTGAGAAAAAAATATGGTTTTCCATCACGTGTTGCATGTCCTATTTCTTGTATTATTACACTACGAATTTGCCACTAACAAACTGTAATAAAAACAACGAAAAGATGGTAAGAAGTCAAGAAAATTCGATAACAGAAGCAAGCTCACCACAGAAAAGTAACTGACACCGGAATTACAACAAACAATGAACGAAATTCAGTGCGCGCCAGGGAAATCTACAAACACCATCCATTACTAGAAAACGACGCAATTATTCCTATTGACTTATGGGAACGAATGGTATGCCGAACATTTCTCTCGGAATCAACAAAAAGCCAAACGGAACTGCACTTGCTAATAAAGGAGCCCAAACCGATGTGACAGGGAAACAACAGACTCATTGGAGATAACTATTCCCCTCTGACAACAATAATAACAACAGAAGATCAAAGAAAAATGCTGCCATCCATCCATCAAGAATCGGCAAAATTCCGTCATCAATGCCAGGAATTATCTCCTCTTGTTCCAAAGAACTGACAACAAAGGGAAACTAGAACCATGAGAGCAAGAAAAAGCGAATTACAAAACACCGCTTCCAGTTCTCACAGTTCCAGAAATGGTGAAAACATACATTTCCACCGGAATCTTAACTATTCCAGTTAGAAATCGTCTATTACCGACCAAAACGCCACCCAACAGCAACTTGAAATAGAACGTTATTCACCAGAAAGGTCGCAATGATCGGAGACTACAGAGTAAACAGCGCCGAAAACGCCAAATGAATTGCGAGTTGAAAGAATCCACGAATGACCAGAAAAAGATCCGGTAGTCCACGATAATGACAGCCTAGAGTTCCCAACAGACCTGCTAACTTGAACCACCGTAAAATAATCAAACTGGAATACGGACTAAAAAACGCGCAGAATACAAAACAATGTGAATTAGTTAGATGATAGGAGTACCAGAAAAATGAAAATGAAAAAATGAAATCACATCCTGGCAAAAAAAAGTGCCTTTCACGTGATTTCCGACCTACATCCATACTCCGACCAGATATCCGACTTATCAAACTTCAAAATTATTAATATAACTAGATTCATAGAGAGACTTTCGTGTGATTGGCTGATTTGCTTAAGATCTACATCGTAAGATCGATTAAGGATCGATTATACAAATTTAGTAATTAATTGCTATTGTTTAACGTTAAGATTGTTTAAATAATAATAAAACTACGTTCATTGTAATTGGAATTTTTGTAATGCCTCTTCCAACGTAAATATCATACATTCCACTGGTTCATTTTCATTATTGTCCTCACAAGGAATAATATTGTCAGGTTCTTCGACTTGATGTTTATTTAAATGTTGCAAACGTTCTAGTAAGAATTGAACGTGTTCGTCAACACCATCTTGTAGAAATGAAAGGCAATATAGACATTTGGACCCATTATGACTAACAAATTTTATGATACGTGTGACCACAAGCTAAAACTTTAATCATATCTGCATTAATAGGCAAAATAATAGAACAATTAGATGCATCACAATAATAAAATTAATTCAGTTTTTGCGAGATACCTAAGGAAAGATAACATAATTGTGCTTCCAGCATTTTCATTGCAATTAGTGGAATAATATTATCACTGGCTTTCTTTTTTCTTTTCTTTTTGAAAATGAACCTGTGATGGCTTGTAATGGAAATATTAAGAGTATTTTATGATGAAATAAGCACATATAAATTTCTGAAAAATATTGCAAAAGGAAACAGGTACTTTTTTTTGTCAAAATCGTAATATTTCGTGCAGAATATTTATATACTGCCCATGTGTGCGCAAAGTTTTCTCTAAATCCATTATCATTTAAACATAATTGGTTAATATAACATCCATATTTAATGATTTGTTGCATTTTTATGTGTTTCTGTATATTTCTATGTAGAAAACTGTGAAATATTTCTACAGTTGAATCAGAGGATTTTGAAAATTTGATCTTAATGATCTCTAGGATTGAGTGATTATTTGACTTTCAGAAGAAAAAAATAGTTTCTGCGATGGAATTTAAGAAATATTATTCATATACGAAAACAAAATTCTAAGTAAGTATTTAAATCATCAGATTAGAAAAATACAGTATAGACATCCAGAACAAGAGAAATCGTATTATTAAGCAGATCTTTAAGTGCAAGATATTTAGTATTTTTGTTCAGGGATCCAAATTTTGCTTTAATATTCATTAAAATTTTCTGTTAAGCACTGTGAGAAATCTCTAAAAGAAGATTGATACGTCATGACTTGAACTTTTGTGTGAAAAATTTTTGTTCTTCAAAAATATAGTTGAAAAAAAAGATTGATATTGAAGAAATATTAATTTGTGACTATTTAAAGAAATATATAAAGAACCTATGATGAAAAGAAAAGACAAAATGTTCTCAGTAATATTTGATTGATCCTGATAAATTTGTTCAGATCAATCAGCGACGATGAAAATAATATATTTTTTTTGAATATATTGCTACATAAATGAAATATTTACAATAACATTAATAGCTCTAACATATGTATTCATAAAATGAAGATTATTTTCCTGTAAGTCTATAAGAATAACATCCTTAATAGAATAAATATTTTATTTTTATTTCAATTTAATATCATAACTATTTACAGTTAACTCTTTCAATTTAGTATTGTTACAATTATGTTATAAAATTCGTTAATTTCATAATTTGTAATATTTTATAAAATTATAAAAATTATATAAAGAACTTAGAATGTTTTACAATTTTCTTATATTGTTACAATAGTAACATAAAAATTGCAAATTCAAAAATAATTGAAAACATGAAAATTTCAAAAATATTCATATAATAATAAAATCCTCTAGTATTATTTCACTTTTTATTATTTTACTATTTATTATTTTACTTCTTTTTTATTTTTCACTTTTCAGAAATTTCACTTTTTATTTTTCACTTTTTAGAAATTTCACTTTTTATTTTTCACTTT